TAAGCCATTTGCAGCCCTAGGTGCTTCCTTCACAGCAGGACTGCTCAGAGCCTTGAGGACTCACTAGTGGACTCACAGGGGGACAGTAGTGTGAGGGCTCTCTCTGTGGACCACAGGGCCTTTGATCCCTGTGGAGTCTGCAGGCTCCTGTTTATCTGCAGCGTTTGAGAAACATGGACCCCAGGCGTTTCCTGGCGAGCCCCCACCTGACTGTCCCCTGTTCTTCCGCCGCAGGGAAGGAACTGGTGCTCTTCCTGCGCCCGCGATCCCAGCTGCGGCTCAGCACCGACCTGGAGGCCTTGGATCTGGGGGGCCTGCGGCCCGACCGGGAGCTGGCCCGGGTGTCCGTGCTGTCCACCGACAGTGGCATCGAGCGGGACCTTCCCGCGGGGGCTGATGAGCTGCCGGCTCCCAGCAGCCCCGAGATGGAGCGTGGGGGACTACAGCGCAAAGGAGGCATCAAGAAGCGTGCGTGGCCCCCAGACATCTCGATGCCGGGAAGCTGGGACGGGCCCCCCGGGCTGCACCGGAGGACGGGCAGGCCCAGCGGGGATGGGGAGCTGCTGCCCGGCATCTCCCGGCTGCACACGGCCCGCGTGCTGGTGCTGGGGGACGACAGGATGCTGGGGCGCCTGGCCCAGGCCTACCACAGACTCAGGTAGGGTCCCAAGGGGTCCTCGGGGACTGGAGCTGACCAGGGGCAGGGCAGGCCTAGCGGGGGCAGGTGAAGGAGCGAGGACGGGCAGGAGCAGGTCAGGAGGCCAGGCGGGCGTGGGGAGGATGCCGGTCTGCCGTTGCCCACCCCGGAGCTCCGCGCTCACCTTCCCCACCCTGCCAGGGTGTGGTGTATCCATTTGGTAGATGAGAAAACAGAGGCTCGGAGTAATGGTGTAAATTGCCCAAAGAGCAGAGCCAGGATGCCGGGCCAAGCCTGTGCGAAGGCCACACCCCTGGGCTCACCCCGTGCTTTGCTCCCCTTTGCCAGGAAACGAGAGACCCAGAAGTTCTGCCTCACGCCCAGACTCAGCCTGCAGTTCTACTACATCCCTGTGCTGGCGCCTGAGGTGACGGGCAGGGCAGGAGCGAGGGGACCCCTGGGCTAGGGACGGGGCAGGCACACACCTGTAGCCTCAACACCCTCTGGCTCAGGGACTAGAACCACCCTGCATAGAATGTGGAGCCAGGAGGGATCCCAGGGGCCTTTTGTTCCAGAAGCTGCAGATGGCCGGACTAAGTGCTGAATGTATCAGACTGCCTTCTGCTGT